CACTTTAAGAGGGATGTGGACAGCATCGAGAGGGTCCAGAGGAGGGCCACTCGCATGCTCAAGGGACAGCAGGGCAGGTCCTATGAGGAAAGGTTATGGGACCTGAACCTGTTCAGCCTCCAGAAGAGAAGGCTGAGGGGGGATCTTGTGGCCTGCTATAAACTAGTCAGGGGGGATCAACAGGCACTGGGGGAGTCCCTGTTCCCCCGAGCGCTGCCAGGAGTGACCAGGAATAACGGTCATAAACTGGCGGAGGGGAGGTTTAAGTCGGACATCAGGAGGCGCTACTTCACGGTCAGGGCGGCTAGGGTCTGGAACCAGCTTCCAAGTGAGGTGGTGCAGGCTCCCACCCTGGGGGTTTTTAAGAGGAGGTTAGATGACCATCTTGCTGGGGTCGTTTGACCCCCAGTACTCTTTCCTGCCATGGCAGGGGGTCGGACTAGATGATCTGCCCAGGTCCCTTCTGACCCTAGCAACTATGAAACTATGAAAATAGGAAAGGGAAGCGGTGGTTCTGGCAGTTAATTGGTATTGAGTCTCAAGAGATCAGAGGCAGTAAAATATTTTTAAAATGCCTGAGGAACAACAGAAAATGTGGACTTATTTCTTTCAGACATTTGAACAAGAGAAATTCTCACTTCAGAGAGAAATTGAACTCAAGAACAGAATGTTGGAAAGTTTGAGTTTTGAATGTGAAGCTCTTAAGCAGCAGCAAAATATGCAGCTGGAGAAACAACGAGAACAACTGGAACGAGTTCATGCACAAGAAATTGGTGACCTCAAGAACAAGGTTTGGAACTTAAATGATGTATGTGTTAAAGAATGTTTTTTTTCCAGGCATAGAGATAGAGAATTGCACACTTAACATTCAGGCAAACCAAATGAGCAGTTAAAGTATGCAGGCAAGTTTCTCCCGTTTTTCGCTTCTATTTCCACTTGCATTCAGTTGATTTGATTTTTGAAATAATATAGCTACCATTAGTTTTTCTGACAATTCATTTTAGATTTAAGCTTTCTAGTATTGTAGCAATAATAACTGGTAAATTAAATGGACAACAGGCTAAAACTGTAATTGCTGTGGAACCAAGTGATACTATGCTTTCTAAGATAATATGTGTGCATGTTATGCAATTAAATGAAGCTAGCTGTTCTTTAGTAATATACAATTTTGTTTTATTGCAGGAGGATTTAATTGTTCACAGGAAAAAACCAAACAACCTAAGTTTCTGATAGCTTAAGAATCAGTTTAAGAAATTACTTCAAGGTTACTTCGAGATATGGAAAAAAAACAAAAACTGGTGGTGGTTTACTTTCAGCTCAGCACGTACCCGTGTCGAGTGTAGCACATGCCCGGAGGAGACATTGTGTTAGTTTGACCTGGCTTGCCCAATGTCTTTATAGATCAGGTGCTTCAGTGGGGCTTTTATATAGTAGCTGATTGAATCAACTTTAGATAAAAGCTCGAAAAAGCCCTGCTGAAGCGCCCTATCTATAGATACTTGGGAGCTGGGTCGAACTAATGTGCTTCCTCTTCCGGGAAAGTGCTGTTTTTTGGGGGGGGTTGTTTGTCCCCCCTCGCATGTCAGCGCCCTAAATGGCTAGGAGCTAACGAGTATTCCTAACTCTGCTGTCATCTATATTTAAATCAAAAGCACTGTACAGTTGGAACTGATAGTTTGCTATAACTTGTTCAATCTTTTTTTTAAGTTGGAGAATCTGAAGGCAGAACTAGATGAAACCCGATTAAGTGAGAAGCAACTAAGGCATAAAGTAGAACATCAGAAGGAGATAATAACTGCTAAAGTAGAAGAATTGCGTATAATGTCTGAACGTGTACATGAAACTATGTCTTCTGAAATGTTAAATCTTCAGATTGAATTAACAGAACTTGAAAACATGAAGGTAAGTGATTAATACTTGCAAATTAACAGACAATGGTATGAACAAGACCTAATTTTTGTCTTTTCAGTTTTCTGATTGATTTAACCAGTTTGAAGAAAACAGATTGTTATGCCTTGCTCTTTGGACAAATTGGCTTGATGATAAATTCTAGCAGTAAGTCTAGCAAAAGTCTAGCAATAATGGATGAGATGCTTCTTGATAGGTTAGGCTTTCACCTTTTAGTAACTGTTCCCCTCCACCCATAGTTAATATTACTCTAAAGAAGCAGTTTACTATGCCAGAGCTGCTATTGGTGGATGGCAACCATTGATGTTGCTGGATCATGCTGTGTGTGTCAGAGGTCACCCAGACCTTTGACGCATATGCCTAGGGAGAAGTATGGAGGAGTGGAGGCTGCCCAGAACTTTCATCTCCCCTTTAGGTCATTGAGACAGAATCCAAAGGCCAGATGTTTGGTGCCTCCATGGCTGTAGTTTGTATAAGTATCCGGGAATCAAACCCTGTGTAGCAGACATAGATTCTACCACTGAATCACAAGGGACTCCAGAGCTACTATTGAGAAGCAGAAATACAAATACCAAAAAACTAATTGTTGGCTACCCTTTTATTTACCATTTTTGTTTTTTTGGGCCAGGCTAATCTTGAAGAAAAAGTGAATGAATTGCAATGCAATAAAGAAAAACTGGAACTTGCAAATAGCAACTTGCGTAACCAGTTGGAACGTCTTCAAGGAGAAAAAGAAGAGAGAGAAAAAGAAATAGTTTATTACTATAGTGCATTAGAGGTAATCTGCTTAAACTCTTACACCACTCAAATCCATATATGAATACCAGGGATCTTGGTTTTCTCTGTTTTTAAAAATTGCAAATTTTCTGATTAAAAACCCCAATTCATGTTTTTTGTGATGAAAATGAAAAGCCACAAGTATGTATGTATGTATGTATGTAGGTATCAGTTGAACACAATATTTTATTTATATATTTTCAATTTGAAAGCAATTTGGAAGCCTATGAGTGCCTCAACCAGTATGATGAAATGAATTCTAAATACCTATATATTTTGGCATTTGATTTTGGGTTTTTTATCATGGAAAAATCAGACCTCCCCCTGTCCCTGTTGCTCACCAGGATGCAGGTCCAGCTGCAGCTATCTCTGCCACATCCCCTGCTTTGTGGTGCTGAACAGCCCTGATACGTTGATACCCTACCCATGCCCTTGCCCCTCACTCCCGACCCACTGCCCCCCACCCCTAATTGTGCCCCTCACTCCCCGCCCTCCTGGAGGGGGCCCCCAGCTAGGGACCTGGGCCCGGCCCAGCCCAGCCAGCACGCAGCTTCCAGACAAGGCTGCTGCTGCCACTGCTGCAGCTGCCGGGGGACCTCCTTGGCTTCCCCGGCATCCTGCTTGCTCCAGACAGCAGGTGGGGCAGAGGGGGAGCTGCAGCTGGTCATAGGCGCAGACCCCGCACCTGGGGCTAGTGGCAGCGCAGAGCCTGTGCCCAGGGGGCCAACAGGAGCACGGAGCTCAGGTGCGTAGGTGTGGGTGTGAGGGAGGGAGGGGGTGTGTGGGGACCCCACCACACAGTCCCTGCCATGGCACACAGCCCCTGCTGCCAGCGGCTGCAGTATATGGCAGGTGCACAGGGTGCTTGTGGTCTTCTCAGGCACTGTTTCTCAGTGCACGGCTCCAGCCAGCGCTGCATGTGGTGGTGAGGAGTGCAGCTAGGCCAGCCTGCCTTGCATGGGATTCTGAACGGTGCACGTGCAGCTCCTAGCACTTGTGCCGCACTGGGGGAAGCCCTGCACAATGGAGCTGGCTGCCTTCCCTGCTCTCTGCTGTGCAGGTCCTGGGACTCTGTGCAGAAGTGGGGGGAAACCCCGCCCCCTGCTTCCCAGAGGAGTCCTGAGACCTGCAAAGCAGGGAGTGGGGAAGGGAGCTCTCTCCATTGTGTGAGGCTTCCACCGGTGGTGCATGAGTGCTGGGACCTGCACGTGCACTGCACGGAGCCCCTTGTGATACAGGCAGGCTGGCCTGCCTGCGCTCCTTGCCATGATGTGCAGCGCTGGCTGGAGCCATGCACCACCATGCAGCAGTGCCTGAGCAGGCCATGAGCACCCACCATGTTCTGCTGCTGCTGCCACTGGCAGCAGGGGCTGTGCGCCATGTTGGGGGAGAGTGTGCAGGGTGTCCCCCACCCTCTTCCACACCACAAATGCCACACACCCACACCCTGCCTCCACAACCCCACACATGTAAATACCCCCACACAGCCCATTTTACTCCCCCCCCCACCCTCACACACACACTATACAAGAGTAAGACTTTTTTTTTTGAGTTATTATGCAATCACCTCTATATATACTACGCAAACAGAAACCATGACAAAAATGTTTTTTTGTAATTTAAAATGTGTTATAGTAGGCATTTGACTTCCAGTATATGATTTTTTCTTCTGGTTCTGAGATAGCAACCGTCCCCTCCCAAAAGGTGTACTTCATATGGGAGATAAGGAGAGGGACTTTTGGTGGCAAAGGTCAGGATTTTGAGGTGGGAGTTCTGGTCCCAAGGTGGTGACCAGGGAGTGGGGCAACTGTCAAGGGGCACGGTTACCTTTGAGCCCTCAACAGCTTGCCAAAATTCATTAAGTGCCTTTCCAGCCGAAATAATTGCCCACCCCTGTGCCTAACAGCTTCTTGTTCTTTTTCAACTGATGCATGCCTATGACATTCAAATACAAATGTGCTCAACAAATTAAGACTTCACATATTTTACTGATTCCTATTACATTTTTTGGGTTGAAACAAAAACTGATCTGACGTGTAGCAATTTGAGAATTTGGATGTCTCTGATCTCATCAGTAACTATATATTTGAATATAAAGTCAATGCAGAGACTTCATTATAGAAACAATATGATCAGAAGCGTAAGCCTTCCCTTTATTTGTATCAGCTGTAAACAGTTCTCAAATAAAGAGGAAGAATTTAGCTCAGGTATTTTAGCATACATTCTTCACTCATTAATTACCAATAAGATCCTGATTGCTCCTGTGGAATGCAGGCATGATCCAATGCTGGCCTCGGAACTAAACGGTAGCTACTGAATTGTTCTCCCTTTGGATTAGGTATCCAAAAGCATAGTGACTACAGTTTCCTGGATCTGTTGCTTCAGTCGTCCTCACTCAGGATTCTTCTGCCTTCACTCAAGGATGGTAGAGTTATCCTGAAAATGTTGGGCATTTAGCCCAAAAGTAGTGGACCATAAATGGGAATTCCTCTACAGTAGTGTCTCACTCTTTTTAGACTTGAGGCACCCCTCATTAAGCATAAGTCACCCCTTGGAAAATGCTGGGTATTAGTTTTCACTTGAGTGTTTTGGTGACTTATTTATTTTTTTGCTACAGAAAAATAATAGAGCAGTCTTTCTGTTGTAGAGAACTCAAAGACTGCAGCATGTTTTAACACCATGGATTCCTATTTAAAATATTTGATTTTATCTTTTGAATCCTGTTTGCACACCTAACAGTACTAAGATTGTATGACATACCAAGACATCTTTGAAAAGCTTTCAAGGCACCCCAAGTTGCCAAGGAACTCTGTTTGAGAGTCACTGCTTTACAGCCATGTCCATCACAATATTGAAATGCAAACATGCACCTACCCATTCCATCCAGGTGCTCATTTCAAGATTTTATTTGAAGAATTAAGGTTGCAGTCCGCTGTAGATCAAAAGTTGTTTAAAATTTGACCAGTTTGTGGCAGGCAATTGGAAAACTTCTTAAAGAGGGTAAAAGCTATTAGGTGTATTGTTGGATACAACAAGCATGTCTCTTCCCGCCCCCCCCCCTTCCCCCTAACAAAACAAAAACCATAAATGCTGGAAGTTGCCATCTATGTTATATGCGAGAAGTATGGTAAGAGCAGTTTCTGCTGGGTACTGAGCAAAAGTAAAATCTGCATGTGGTTTGTAGGGAGAACGGTGAGCAGGCTCAGCTCCCTAGCTGTTGCTACTCGCCCCTGCTTTTTTCTCCCTGTGAGAAAACAAGGTGCATATTTTATACCAGGATATGTTGTATGCGAGAAAATATGATACTTAGGGACATTGCAGAAAGTGTTCTGAGCCTTATGAGGAGGGTTAATAAAGTAGGCTTCGATTTGTTTGTAGAGGTATCATTTCATAGTGAGGTTCTATCAAGTTGGCATCCAAATAATTCTGTGTTACAAACCTCTGGGATGGTATGGAGGGCATCTCCGCTTCCAGTTAATGTTTTCCTGTAATGCCTGGATTATTTCTCTCCCCCACACCCCAACTGTCGTATTTCACTGCTTATTACCTTCTGTTAGGGTAAAATCTGCTTAAGAGGAGAAGTTGATTGCCAGGTATCTTCCCAGCTTCTTTCATTCATCCTATCCTGGAGGCTTGATAAACTGCAATTTAACAAATGGAAAACTTTCTCCTAAAACAGAAGTTAAATGAGTTTGCCTTTAGCTGGCGTAATTTACCAAGTTGGTCCCAATGCTAATTGATTGCAGGAGTTTTGGAAGAACTGTTTAGGGAGCTTGGTTCAGCCTAAGAGCTTCCAGCAAGAATATTAGAGGACCTTTTGAGTTGTATAATTGAGGGCACTAGCTGATTAGTGATGAAAGAAGAGAGCAGGAGGAAAAGACCTAGGGTACTTTGCATTTATTAGATCTAGATCCCTCATTGCTCAATAGTCTTATGTTGGGATATTCCATTAGAGCTGTTGAAAAATTCTGATAGGAGGTAAAAGTATGGAAATAACGGGGCAGCAATTTTCAACAGTGTGTGAACCTGAGCATTTATCAGGTCACCCCAGTACAATGCAAATTTTCATTATGGCTTTTGTTTAATGTCTCAGATAACCTTAATGTGTTGGGACGAGAAGGAGACCAGTGGGTGGAATTAGGGCTTAAATATCGAGTATTGAAATAGTTTAAATAGACTAGTCTAAACAGTATGAATCCATGTTCCTTGGACAATAACAGTCTAAATCCTGATATCGGCTAAATTGTGCTAAATTTTATCCAGTGTCACACAATAAATATCAACCTTCTGTGGCTGGGAATACATGCACAGTTAAGCAGTATGCTAAAGAATAATACCCAAGTTCAAGGTATGGAAAATAGGTCCTATGGTACTGTCTTCTACTTTCATACTTTAGCTCTTTCTGTATAAACTGACACATAGTGACCACTGTTCTTCTGGTTATAATGTAGAAAGCTCATGAAGTTAACCAGGACCTTCAAGTTCAGCTGGATCACGCACTGCAGGATTCCTTGGACCCTACCAGTAAGGGCAATTCTCTGTTTGCTGAGGTAATAATTCTTTTATGTCATCATTAAATGCAGGTTCTATTCATTGACGAGAACAAGAAATACTTGTACTTTCACTTTAAGTATTGTGTTCCTGAAGAATTAAGTATGGTTCTTCTTTACCAAAAATAACTATTCCACTGTGTGTGGGGAGTGATCAGTACACCTTGGTTTTAATTTCTTTTTTTGGCATAGAAAATACGGTGCGGGGAGGAGGGGACATGTTTAATGTTGCATGGAATTTATGGTAGACTATTTTCCTCCCCTCCCCTCCCCCCTAACATGGGTGGTATCTTAAGCTACATCAGAATCGTGAGTCCAGGTGGTAAGGAATATTATGTAGTTGGCTGTCTTTGTGTACTCTGTTTGGAGATTTAAGTAGCTCTATGTTACAAATCTGGGATGGGGTGGAAGGTGCATGGACTTGGGGTATAGCCTAGTATAGGTGCCTGAATACATCCGTCTTATTAATTGCAGGGGTTTACAAATATAAGTGGTTCAGGTAATTGAGATCAGATTTCAATTGGACACCTAGTTCTGGTTCTAATTTTAACTCTTTCCTGTAAACCAGTTTTATTTAAAGGACTTCATATAGATAGGGACCTACCAAATTCACAATTGTGTGATTTTCATGGAAACCATGAGATTTGGGCAGGCTCCACGAAAAATATCGGGCTCTGTGAAAAATGGCGGACTTGCTGCAAAACAAAAGCATAACAAAACTTAACTGCAAGCAGAGAAAAGGGTGGGAAGCCCTGCAGTCATGGAGTGGGTGGGAGCTGGGTGGGGGTAGGGAGAGTGGTGGTGGAGAGGCTGCACAGGCAGCTGGACCATGGTTGTGGGCTGGCTGGGGCAGGTAGCTGGAAGCACGTGGCTGGAAGCCCTAAAGTGGATGTACTGGGGTCCACAGAGCCCCAGCACTTATTGTCCGTTGGCACATGCCACTGGCTATAAGCCATGCTTGGGCTTCAACATTGGTGCAGCTTCTTGCAGTCTTCTGGCTGCCTGCCACAGCATGCCTGGGACCCATGGTCCAGTTTGGGAATGGCATGAAATTGTGGCTAAATTACCCTGATTAAGTCTGGGAAGCCTTTTATCCATGCTTAATGCAGAGATTAATGGCTTCCCTGCACTTAATTAGAGTAATTAAGCCACAGTTTTGGACCATGTGGCAATTTGCCGGGAGGGGTGGCACTGCCAGGGTCTCTTGGCCAATTGGAGGGCGGGGCACTACATTCGGCATACAAACATGGTGGCCATTCCCAGGATCTGCCCGCGAAATTGGCTGGCTGCCTCCTCGAGTTTGGTAGATTTCTACACACAGATATCGAAATTGGCGAAGTGTACATTAGGCAAATCCAGTCAAGAAACTTTTATAGTGTAAGCTTTTCGTGCTATAATTAAAGGTAAAATCTCCACCGAAGATTTAAGAAGAATGCCAATATACATTCTGGGTTAGATATCTTCGAGGTTTATGAACATAAGTTTCCTTTTGTTAACAATGCCATGCTTCTAGAATGTCATTGGTAATTTGCTGTTGGTTAACTAAAATTTTGAAAATTGACTTTTGGAGTAACAATTTTATTACAATCATTACATATTTGTTTTGTAGGTGGAGGACCGTAGGGCAGAAATGGAACGTCAGCTCATCAGTTTTAAAGTGAAATACCAGTCTCTACACAAGCAGCATGCATTCTCTAGAGGTGAATTGCAAAGAATGAAGGTATGGCTGTAATTATATTTTGTAATTGCAAGGGCAGTAGCTGGAGCTGGATCAAATACAATATGAATAATGATGATGGATGGTATAAGAATTTGAGCAGTAGTAAAGGATGTGAGTGTGCAAACAACTTCTTGCAAATAAACAAGGGTTTGTCTTAAATGTCAGCTATTCTGATTGCTCAGTTGCAAACTCCTATTTCACTGTAGATGAAAGCAGACCCATGGCAGTTTAGCTCTAAGTAAATATAAGTTAATATAAGGCTACTGAGAATGCATATGTTTTTCTTCTTAGCTAGTAAACTGTAACTCAGTTTTTTTGCTGCAGCCTCATTTAGACGTTACACTATTAAATAGATTTATATTGCTGACCACTTAAGCTTAATGTTATGTTGTCTTTTAATGTACTTCAGTTTAATTTAATGAGTTCATTACATCTTAAGGTAGTAAAGGGTTTCTTGGCTGGTGCAGGCCAGAAAACAAGCTATAAAATAAAATTTAAAATTTTCTTTTCTATTTTGGTAAATGTTACTTGAAAATGATGGCAAAAGTAAATGTGCTAATAGACTTGAACTGACATTTAAATGGTCTCTGCTTTGTTAAAGTAAAATTGAAAATCTGTTTAATTCTACTTCTAAATCTAATAAAAATATTCTTGATAACCATACGTTTGAAGTGTAGTGAACATTGCATGAGGTCTTAATCAATAGGAGCTGTCTCTAGGAAGAAGACTGCATAAACATCTACTTTGATCTTCTGACTGCATTAGGTTTTTGCCTCTTGTGGCAAGCAGTTTTAATACACAAGGTTTCTTCTGATAACCAAGTGTAGAATATAACTTGATTCTAGTCTTTCTTATGTGCAATCTATGTAATTGTTAACTATGCAACTATGGAGTTGTCTCAGAGCAGAATTATTAGGTAATGCACAAAAAATCTCTGGTATATTAAAGGCCAAGTTGAGTTGGACCAGTTAACAGGTATGAAAAGACCTTGTTACTTAAATTGTTATCCTTAATAGGAAGAGTAAGATAAGTATCCAGTGCTGAACGATTCCAGAAAAGAATAATCTAAAGAACTGTAGACATTGGAATATGCTTAACTACAGCTGTGGTACCTTAAATTCCCCTTTTAACTAAGAATTCTCAGACTGGCTTTACTTTGTGTTTCTGCTTGATATTTTAGCTACAGATGGTTACGCTACTACAGATAAAGGGTTCTCAAGCAGAAATTGAGCAGCTGGAACGTTTGCAATCCATGTTAGAACAAAAGAATGGTGAAATAGAAAATCTTATAATGAAAGTGAGACAACTGGAGAAATTCAGGGTATGTAAGTAGCAAATTGAACCGATAAACTCATTGGGGAAGCAAATGACTAAAATACAGGGAGAGGCTCCTGGTGTGGAACTAATCTCTATTAATGGTCTCAAGGAGTGCGGTCAGTTTATTTCAGATAATAGTTCTCTTTTTGTATGGGGTTGGTGGACACTTCACTAGTCTGAAGAGTCAAACAGTGGTTCAAACCAAATTGACAGTGGTCAAACAGCTATTCTTGAAATCCATTAATGAAGTGTTCTGATACTGTACCTCAGTGGAGACTAACCTTTTTGGCAGGCAAACAGCAAGGTAAGCCCTTCACCCTCTCAACATGTCACTCTGACCCCTGTCCCTTACCAAATAATTTGCCCCGCTTTGTTTCCTGCCCTTTACTGCCTGCTCAATCTTCTGCTTTGTTCCCTGCCTTGTATTCTCTTCACAGGGATCTACTGCTATGTTGCCTGCCTCATGTGGGTTCTGCCCCAAAAATAGATATTGCATAGAATTTACTCAATCTGTTATTTAACTTCTTGTTGTAAGACACTTTTCTGTCCCTCAAATAATTTACTGGATTTTGTCAGAATCTTCTCTAATATTAGCTTAAAAATAGAAAACGGGTGTTGTCAGTGATATATATGAAAATTGTTTCTTTGCTTCACAGTATTACATGTTATAGGAGCATTTTCCTTGACCAGTCTCAGCACAGCACTGGGACTTTATGTTAATAAAGTTCCTTGTATATGTTTCCCCTTGCTTTCTGTAGATATGACCTGCATTTGGCTTTAGCTGACTGTTAGACCTGATCCCGCCTAGCAAGTAATTAATAGTGCTCCGAGTCTCCTGATTTCTCATTATTTACTTTTTCATTAATCTTTTTCCCCTGCACAAACTACCAACAGTCACTTTTTTGGTTACTTCCAGGTAACTGATTAGCATCCGGCCTAATGTTGGACCCCATTAGAAACATTCACAGCCCATTTAATGGTTACTTCATTAGAGAGATACCAATGAAGTAACCATTAACCAATCTATGAATAGGCAAACAGTAGCAGGGCAGAGCCCCTGCTCCCAGTGCTGCTGCCTGTTTAGTCTATGGCCAAATCACCGAAGCAGCCGAAGCTTTTCCAAACTGATTCAGATGCTTTGAATTGATTTGGAGCTCTTAATTGGTCTCCCGATTCGATTTGGATTTGGAGATTCGGTCCCTGAATTGGGCCAAATCTCTACCGAATTGAATTGGCTACCAAAGCTTCGCACAGCCCTATTGCTTTATAACTCCAGGTCCATATTTGTACTGGGATAACAGAACTTGGGGGACCAAGTATTTCAGCATGTTAAAAGGAAACAGTAGGTCTTCCCTTTCAATTTCTCATATTGCGTAAAATACTATAAAACAAGTTCCATCTATGGCTCATGACATATTACCCATTAAATAGTTTTCATTATATATAGATGGCAGCTTTACTCAAGGGAAGGTTAAAAGCATGAGTAGATAGAGGTACTTGGTCTCTAAAGTGTCACCCTACCCTGCCCTGCCTTCTACCTGACTTCAGACCAATAGAGCCAACTAGTATAGAAATGTGTAACATTTTGTAGGTGGCAGCCTACTTTGTCAGATGCTGTGCTTCATCGTACATGAGGAACCAGCCTAAAGAACAATAAAAATTGCCACTAAAAATGCCTGCCATGTGGGATGGACTTCAGCAGCTCACTGGCAAAGGAAACACAAGATCCTTTTAGCTGTATATTTCCTAAAGCTGTTTAGGGAGTCTAGATGTCCAATTTCCATTAAAATTAAATTGGCCCCCAAATCAAGTTGAGATCCAGTATTTGGAAAAGGTTTCTAAGAACTCAATGAAACATAACATTACATCAGTCTGGACTAAGTAATCCTTGTTGCTTGAAAACATTCACAAGTCATGCCTTTGACTTGCTGAAAGTGAAACATGGCTTTCTTGTAAGGCTTTAGGTATGATGAAGAGGCTGAAAAGTAACTAGAGTAAGATTTGAAGCAGTAAAGTGTGTGTCCTGAAGATCAGGTGGCAGTTGAATTCAGAGCTGCTTTTTCTGCCTGAAAGTGGGCCCTTTATGGCCAGGATCAGTTGTTCAATTCTGGGTCCCATTGTTTTGAAAACAATAAAAATGCTGTATGATCAGCAAGGAGGCTTCTTAATTCTGTAGGAAAAAATTACTGACTTCATTCTTGGAAATTCCTGAAAATGTTGAATGTTAAAATTGGAACTAAAGTAAAACTCTACAAGCGCATTTGCGTTGGTTGACTTTTTTTTTACTCTTTCCTTGTATCAGACAGAGGAATTTAGATCCAGTAGTAGTTCAAAAGGTGGAGAATTTGAGGATGGCTGTTACATAGATTTACTTCAAATGAAGCTTGAGAACTCAAAGTAAGTATGCGGTGGGGGTCTGAAGCCTAGAAATTAGTGTTTGGCTGTAATTGTGTTGTAGACTTAGTATTCAATTTTCTTAGTTGTTTGTGTGCTGTGTGTTCCATTTTTGGTGCATGTGTCCTGCTTGTGTTCTGAGTGTCTATCTGGGGCTCTGCCCACCACCTTTCATGTCCATGTGTGCCTGTATGGAAAACACAAAAACCAGAGCAGCCCAGCCTACCACTAAGTTTCTTTCAGACCACAGCTAATAAATAAAGCTCTTCTATACCTGCATCTTTATGCCTCCATTTTTTTCTTAACTGTAATTGTATGTACAATAACGTTAGCTGAAGATCTTTAAGGTCTATTCACAAACTCTTCAATAGTCTTAACACTCTCTCTCTCTCTCGTCCCTCCTCTTCCCCCCCCCCCCCTCCCCCCCCTTTTTTCCTCTTTTTTT